TATATATATATATATATATATTTATATACATGGCAACACAAAAATTCGGTAAAGTGAATCAAAATGTGATACCTTCTCTGCAGAACTACTACGTGACAATTGCCTAGCCATCGACGTCTTTTCTAGATTACCTGAAAATAAGTAGTATCCTAATGAAAACTAAACTGCTCATTTCGCACCATCATTTAGTTACCCAAACACAACGCGCCAGCAGCCAGTAATGCAGTAACATCGGAAGTGTACCAGAAAATTAAAAACACGCCGTCGAAACTAACAACAGAAAGAGCGCTAATCCGGCAAATCAGTGAAGCATAACTACACAAATTACTTTTATATACCTGATAAGCTACAATGTTTCATTTTTCCACATCCTTCGTCTAAAAACACAAATTAAAAAAAAACCGTATTATTAATGCCATTAATTTTTTCTTTCTCTTTGGTAATAAGGCAAGAAGGAAAATCCGATTTCACTACAAATGGATTGAAGGCAAACTCCACGTTTCAAACGGTGCATTTCAACATGGAAAGAACTTTTGCAAGCAACACTCTTTGTAATCCGTTACACAAATGCTACCACGTCTATCAGTCTTTGAATGCTTGGTAACTTTTCTTTTGTCGAGTTGGGTTTCCCACTCCCCCATAATAATGGTGGGAAAATAATTTGTCAATAAAATGAGATTTCGGATTCGGAGTAAAATTTTCTAGTCCATCATCACTTCAGCAGCCATTCCCTAAATCCGAAACACAAACAAAGAAGCAGTACAAGAAGCAATTTGAAGATGCTGGTATATTTTCCCCAATGGGAAATAATCTGCTATGAGGGTTTTCAAACAGATATATCCTACAGTAAAAAAATACTTTTTCCGCAAACCGCCATCTAATCTTTCGAAAATTCACTTTCTGGCTAGATATGACAACGTATGAAAAGATTTTACGTGGTTTAAGCAAATTGAAATTAAATTTTCGTTACTTTTCTGATAAAAGTTTGTAGAGAGCAAAAATTCCCAAAGACAAAATATAAATAATATTGCCATAATAGAACGTAATTCCTTACGAGGGAACTTTGATGTGTTTTGCACATTCCACTTTTGAGGAAGTGTTAAAGAAAGTGTGTCAATGGTTGTTAAGTTTGCTGCAAGCAGACGGTCCTCTTCGGAAAGGTCATCGGGAACTAAATTTAAAGCACTAGCCAGTTGAAATTATTTGTTCGGAGTTCTGATAAATGTTATTATATAAAGCTTGAAAAATTTGTTTTTTTACCAGTCACATCTTTGTCAATCAGGTATAACGCTATTGGTGACTGATTAGTGACTCGAACTTCTTTAGCAAAACAACGCAGAAAATTCTTCAGCGGAGCCTTGTTTTGAAAAAA